GTAAAAAATGCCCATCTTAACGATCTCATCGCAGATCTGGCTTCGCTGGGCGTTAAAGCCGAATTCAAGTTGGGCAGAGTCGGCACCAAGGTTATGCTCCGCACGAAAGCGGAGTATGACTTGGTCGTTGCCCACCTGAGGACTACCAAGGTGGAATTTTTCACCCACGACATTCCCGGCGAGAAACCATTCAAGGTCGTCATCAGGGGTCTACCGAATTTTGACCCGAAGCTGATTGAAGCGGAAATCAAGAACCGCTACAAGCTGGCCCCAACTGCCGTCTTCCGGATGACAAGGAGGGACGAAAACGTCAAAAGGTATCCAGATTGTCTTTTCCTGGTGCATTTCCAAAAAAAAAAAAAAGTTTTTCTTGAAATCATAGTATCTCAAAACATAGGACCTCAGTAACGACATCTCTCTGGCTTCTCGCGGAAAACAAGATTGCTCGCTAACTCGCAAACAATATTGCATAAAAGTTCTATAGAATGTATAGAAACGTCAAAGTGATCCGATGCCAGCGCTGTGGCGAGTAGTTCGCGGAACTGATAATATTCAAATCAACCGTTAAATGCGTGAACGAAGATACACAATGAAGTGTTACGTCTGTTTGTCTGTGGTTCTTCGTCATACTGCGGTCGTGTCTAGAACACAACGCTTTAATTTTTTTTATTTCTATGGGCCGTGGATAATTTCCAACCCCCCCCCCCCCCCCCCTTTCCCCCTAAACTGTAAACGTAGTTTATAGACAGCCACTAAAATTTTAAGATAATTCTATGCATTATAAACAAAATAATTTAGTTTATTTTAAAGCCATTTCCCTTGAGTTTTGTGAATGAACAAGCTGGTGAATCTTGCCAATAAACTTCTCCAGAGGCCAATTTGTCAGATTTGATGATGTCTGCATTGACTCGTTCAGACCCCAAGATCGGAACATTGGTTATGGTACACAATTCTAAACGAAGAATATCTTTTATTTATTTATTTATTTGGAGGGAAAAGCCCACATGAGGGCGCAAAACCTCATCATTTCAGTACCAATAGATAGCATGGAATCCTACAGATACATTTACTTGAACTAAGTCCTTAACATATTAAAAGATATTAATGATAACATAATTAACTTAATTTAAATACAGAAAACAGAAACCGTCAGGAAGTTAAAAGTACATTATAAAACAGATTCTTGCGCCTAACACGGGAGATATTAATATCAAAACAGTTATAGCTCAGAAACCAATCGTTGAGATATTGTCAAAAGTCTAGCACTGCTTCTTGACGCCAAAATCGGCCTACAGGTTCTAAACTCGGCCTAACGCATTGAAACGCCATTGAAACGCCAATGAAATATGAACGGTCCCAGATGACTGCCTTGAGGTACACCATAAGAAACAGCGAACGGTTGAGAAAATGATCTCCAATCTTCACTGACATATGTCGTCCGGTGAGGTATGAGCGAAGCTAATCAAGAAGGGAACCGTGAAAACCAAGTCTCTCTAGTTTGGACACTGCAATTTCGTGATTGATTTTATCAAAAGCAGCAGAAAGATCGGTGTAGATAGCATCCACTTGATGACCTCTTTCCATCTCGTGTATGATTGATGATGGTATTGAACGAGATTTGTAGCGGTCAACCTCTGCGGCATAAATCTGTGTTGTTCAGTCACGATGTAACTAGAGCATGTGTGTTTTAAATAATCTAGCACCAATAGTTCAACAAGTTTGAGACTGGACATAAAGCAACGATACCACGGTAGTTGGACACCAACTGCTTATTGCCTTTTTTGAAGACAGGTAAAACAAAAGAATCCTTGCAGCACTCGGGAAAGATCCCAGAATCCAAAGAGAGGTTGAAGATGGATGCTAAAGGTGCGGCCAGCACTCCAATACTGTTCTTAATAACCACGGAAAGGATTCCGTCAGGGCCAGTGTTGAAAGAATTTTTCAAACGAAGGCTTGCTCTACGAACATCATTAGTCAAGATAGGTGGATGCGGGCCAATAGCAGAAAGTACGGGAACATCACTTACGGCGGCTACGATGTGCTCGTTAGGTAAATTTTCTTTGACGAAGACACTGCTGAATTGTGACATGAACAGGTCAGCGATTCCCGTATCCGTATCTGATTCTTCTTGATCCGTATTGTACATTGTAGAAGGTAAGCCCGATTCCTTCCGTTGATCGTTCACATGATTCCAGAAACTCTTGGGATTTGCTTTGAGTTTAGTTTGTAGATGGCGCTGATGGGCTTGATAAAGCTGTTGGTTGGGCCGCTTATACTGTTTGTTAACGAGGTAGTACTTCCCCTTCGATGCATCCGTTCGAAGTTTACAAAATGTCTTCAAGGCTGCTCGTTTGGATGACTTCAGTCGCTTGAGTCGGTGGTTGGTTCAAGGAGGGATACTATATATGGGTGGAGTTGTCATGGGTACGAACTGGTCGATCGCATAGACGACAATATTCGAGAAAATAGACGAGGCAGCATTCGCGTCACGATCTCGGATTTCATCGTCCTAGCTGATGTTTTCGAAAAAGGTTGCCATTCCCTCGAAGTCAGTCCTACGGTAGTCATACGATACGCTGTCCACGGTAACCCGAAAAGTGCAAGCCTGATATAAGTGAAATGATAACTGCAGAGGTGAATGGTGTCTACAACGTTTAACTAGTGGCACCCTCTTGAACCGAGCAATTAGAGGCGAGTTCACGGCTAAGGAAACATAGATCAAGCAGTATATGATTTTCATTGGAGATCCCGTTCCGTTGCAGAAGATCAGCAGTATTGTAGCAATCTAGGAGAGATGCTACTAGAGGTGTAATGTATGAGCCATTAGAGCGAGGATGAAAGAACCCTTCCCCTTATTCTGCGAGTCACGTGACTCTCTGTCACCGGTGAGGTGACAATTGTCACCTCGTGTGAGGTGACTCTCCATGTAAATCAAATGGAGAGTCACCTCACACGAGGTGACTATTGTCACCTCACCGGTGAGAGAGAGTCACGTGACTCGCAGAATAGGGGGGCCTGTTTCATTCGATGACCAGTTGACTGAAGCAAGATTTAAATCACCAACAACAAGGATTTCGTCAGTCGCATTCATTCTTCTGACGAAACATTCAGTCAAAAAATGGGAGAATATTTCATGAATCCTCAATGCGAACCTTGTAACAATGATGACGATTCTGATGAATTCGATAATTATAGTGACAGCCACGATGAAGAATAGCTATTAGAGATGTTACTAATTATAATTTTGGTGTAGAAAGCCCCAAACAAGTACTTTGATCTTATGATTTTAGAAAATTTATACGGAAAGAAATCGAGTTTTATATCAACTACCTGCATCCTAACCCTGTCACTGTAAAAAGATAAACTGTCACGTCTTAACCTTGAGTAAGCCATGAATATATGATTTCACGTTACACGCATCATAAACAGAATCGATTTGATCAGCAGGGTTAATATTTTTCATTATTTTTCATCAAATCCAATATCTTTGTATTTTCTATTTACTGGTTTATAGAAATGATCGTTTGTAGGGATATAGATAAAAAGATAAGCGGTAAGGAACATAATCTGTAAGGAATTACCTACAAGGAGCAGGTAACGAAAACACTTCGCTGAATGCATTCGAACGATTCTTTAGGCTTTCAGCTTCAATTTGATTATATTTTTACCACTTAGAAAAGCAGTCTAGCAGGGCTTTCTTGAAAAGAAACACACGCACTATAAAATGCTGCTGATTTCGAGCTGCCGATGAAAGCACAGCTGTTTGACACGCAGCTCAAATAGAAAGTCGCTCTCACTAGAGAAGATTGGAGCTTTGTTAAAGCATTTCAAAACAGTTTTTGAAAATTATTTCGACTGAAATTGATAGAGCAGCTGGCAGCAAAGCATTGTAAAAAAAAACAATAGTTTAAATATGCACTCACCAGATGGCACTGCGATGACATGACGGTAGTATATAAAGTGCCTTATTCAAGTAATTTATTAGTGGGATATCATGTTAATTAGATATCTTTGGTAGCAACCAAATCTGAAGGGTCGGGACAAAAGTGGCTTTATTTTTGCCGTTTTGAGCTGAAAATGCCGCTGGGTAGATTGATCTAGGTTTTTATCATGGACTGCAAAACAAAGATAAAACAAGAATTGTTTCTAGGATTGTCAACGGTGTGGACTTATTGGAGTGTAAGCTTTAGAAAGCAGACGATTGCTACATTTTCAAAATTTTAACCGGCAACATTGACTGTAGCAATACAACTTTAGAATGTATGCATACATGCACTAGTCTGTCAGCTACGACATCAACAAATCCTGTGGATTCCTAGTCACCGAGCCAGCTATGACCAACATAATCCATTAGCTGAACCTTCAATTAGGTCTGTTTGGATTTTGGTTTCAATAACTATTAGTTAGTCTCAAAGAATAGTATTAAGTTGTTTTAAGCAGTCCGTACACACTTAGAAATTATCGCCGACTTCGGTAATTTTTACCGAAATCTGAACAGCTAATCTATTCGGTAAAATTTATGCAATTCAATTAAATTGCTACTTTGAAACTAAATCTCCACTAAAATGACAAGATTTGATCATTTAAACAAGGTTGAACATGTTTTGAATTTATTTTCAAATTCAATAGCCTTTAAAATGCTGGTCAAAGTTTTACAGAACGTTCAGCTGTTCTGATTTCGGTAAAATTTACCGAACACGGAAACAAAATCTTAGTGTGTACGACCATGTAGTCAAAGATGTTGATCAAAACAAATAAATAAATTATGAACTAAATTGAGTTTTAATCGCAAATTAATGATCAAAATATTGTAAACAAAAGAATGTGCCCTACCGCAATCTTGTAGTATAAACATGAATCAATAGCCGTTTCTCAGAATGCAATCGGGAAGAGTTTAAAACATAATCTTATACTTCTTGGGAGAAAGAAAAAAAACGAAAGCAATCATCGAACTCGAGGCTCAATTTACAAAACAACAGATAGCGGGGAAATACCGTTATAAAACTGGTAGCATTGATAGCACTCGGTTTAGTTCATGTGAATCGTCCGGTAGTTGAACAACATAAAAGAAATGGCGATTGCAGCAAAGCTTCTCACTATAGTCAGGTAGTTTTTAATTCAATTAACTATATATTGATCAGCAAACAAATACCTTTCACAAATTTCAGCTTAATTTATCTCATTTCCACTTCACACGCGAGGGACTACAAGTGCACGTACGATGAAGATGAGCTGTGTGTATTTCGTGGTGTTCAGTTAAAGTCACCTGATCAATTTACTGCAACATCCTTCTCTGCAAACGGAAAGCCTCCTCGAGAAGTTAAATTTGAACTGTCTTCGATGACTTCAGTGCCAGTCGGAGTATTCCAAGCGTTCCCAAACGTTGAACTACTCGATGTCAGCTTCAGTGGCATGAAAAACCTACCTAAAGGTTCATTCGCTTCTGCCAATAACGTCAGGGAAGTCAACGTAATCGGGAACAAAATTCAACTGTTGGAAAATAATCTCTTCGAAGGAGCAGCTAAGATTAACAGCTTTGACGCCTCGCAAAATAGCATCAGTGAAATTCAGGAAAACGCATTCAACGGATTGAGTCAACTAACAGTACTGAAGCTGGATAACAATCAAATTACAACGCTTCCAAACGGGGTTTTCACTCCATTGATGTCACTGGAAAGTGCTGATTTACAGCATAATTCTCTATCCAAAATTGATGACTCACTATTTGAAAGCTGCACATCTCTAGTCTCCCTGAACGTTTCTCACAATGCTCTTCAAAAGTTTGAGCTAAAACAATTCCAACGAGAATGGTCCGTGGACTCCATCGACATAAGCTTCAACCGGCTCAAAGCAGTCAGCATACCCAATAATCTCAAAAAACTCGTTGCATCGAACAATCAACTGCAATCGGTTCAAGTTCTAGGAAAGGACCCCCAGCTTATATTCCTCCGTTTATCTCACAATAAACTTACAAGCATGGACCAGATACCCAGCTTCAACAAAATCGTAACCCTAGACCTTTCATACAATGACATAGAGACAGTTGATTTTAGCTCAGTGACCAAGTTCAAGAACCTGATTTTGCTTAAATTGGACGGCAATCGACTGTCAACGGTATCTAACTCGCTTACCACCGATTGGACCTACCTGAAATACGTTCATTTATCACATAATCAATTGACTCAGTTGAATTTGGACGTGCTCAAGACCCTGCCAAGGATTATCACGCTGAATTTGAGTTACAATAGGCTAACCGAACTGCAAGCTAAGGATATCAGTGATAATTTCCAGGTCATGGTGCGGTTGATGATTCAAGGAAACGATTTCAAGTGCGATAATATTGCTGCTCTGGTGAAGGATCTCAAATATGCCATGGCTGAACACAAGGTTACCGTTGATCAGTGCAAACGAGGTCAACGGTTGATGAGTGGAATTTGTTGTTCGTAAGTTGTGAGCATAGAGCAGTTTGTTTTCTACGTTGTGTTCCAAATGATAATAAAAGATTAAATTCCCAACATTATTTAGGGATTCAGTGCGTTTTTCTATCCATTGCATAGCCCTGTTCGTAACTAGTTTCAGTGAACTTATAGGGTAAGTGTGTCAGGTTTAGAACAAAGTTTTGGTCCTAGGGCCGAAATTACATTTTAAATCGATTTTCATGCAAATATTGATGGCAAAGTTTATGATCTAACAGTGTATCGAAACACATTTAGTAATGGTTTAAAAATGTGAAATTTAAGATAGGGCTAATTTAGAAGACTACTAGGGCCAACAACTCGTGTGGCAACAAGCATCCGGTGTTTTCTTGCGTAAGGTATCCTTTTTGTGTTCATTGCTTTGCATTATTTTGTTTATCTCTTTATTTGTTCCAAATTCAAATCAATTTGTCATGTTTCAACCTAAGTTCTCCAGCTACAAGATCACGCTTAATTTTCGTAGAAAAAAATCAACGAGCAACAAAGTAGTGGAAATGGATGTAATGTTGGCCTAAATGCCCCTAATTTGGGCCAATACATAAATTCAGCAATCAACCAAAACTATCCATAAGTACCGTCCCAATGACGCGTTCATCTAGATAAAATTGATAAATAGCAGATTTTTAGCGATGGGCCTAATCTTAGATCTATGGGCCAACATTAGAGCCATTTCCCCTATTTTGTTACTTCATACGTTATCATTGTTATATTACACATTATATCATTACATATCACAACATCATATTACATTACATTCCTGAATCGGTTAGCTTGAAAATATCTTATCAGAGCGCTCCCCAATATTCATATGAAAAACTACGATACAAGTGAATAATTAAAATTTCCCCCGCTAGAATATTTCAAAACCACTCGATTTAAAAGTGTAAGCACATAAACCAACCTTTTGTTTTTTAAGCATGAATTTCATGATTGACCACCCGCGGATGCTACTTCGTTATTGTCAGATGCCAGATGTAATTACACAGAGAACTAACAATCATCCTCAATGTGTAAAACTGGTGATCTAAAAATAGACAATACCTGCACCGGCCGCATCCGAATGCAGGTCAAGCAAGGATTGGGTAGGAATGTGTTGACGTGATACTTGCTTTGTTGGTAGCCGAGAAAAGGGCCTATCATTGTTGATCGATTCTCTTCATCGATTTTCTCTTTCGCGAATAACCAGACGGCAAATGCATTTCCCATTGAGTGTGTTGTTTCAGGCGCAAGCTAACATCATCTTCTGTCGAACTGTGCTGCGAGCTTAGCGAGAAATTCGTTGATGTTGCCGTAGTAAATAAAAGAGAAAGTCGATGAAGAGAATCGATCAACGAGGATAGGCCCTTTTCAAATGTTACGCGAGAGTTCTCTTCATTTCCACGAGAAATCACGGGAATGTTGTATAAAAGGGTTGAGTATGCAGTAAATTTTGTTTTTGCTGAATTACAGTGATAGGTTTGAGTGAAAAAAAGCGGCCAATGAATCATGAATGTGAAGGAGCATGAAATTAAACTTATAATGTTCTGCTCGGTAAGCAAAAACGGTCGCTCTGAGGCCACCAAGCCCCTCATATTACGTAACATCACTTATAATATCATTATCATATTATCACATACAAACATTAAAAGAGCGTCGTGAATATGCAATGGTTTCATTTGTAAACGATATCGTTTCGCAGCGCATTGACTCCACAGAACTTTTATCAAAAATAAATTTCTATGCACCTACACGGCAACTCCGAAATCGAATGCCAACTCCGCAAATGCCTTAAAACATCATCGCACAAATTATGCAAAATATGGGCCATTAAACCGCATGATGGCCTCTTACAATCAATACTGCGAAACCATTGACTTTACAATGTCTCGGCATAAACTAAAACAATATTTTTACTCCATAAAGCATTATAACTCATAAAAAATAGGAAAGTTGACACTGCTTAATTTTTATTAAAGAAAAAATATACTCTTAAGCTTTTGTCCAAAGTTGACGAAATAAATAAATAAATATTCGAGTTGTTGTAGCAATTCAAACCCGGCACCGACACAAACGACGATAATTTTCTCAAAACACGGTGAGTAAGCAATGTTACTATGAAACTCTTCAATATGATGGAGCCTTAGGTTTTCTGCTCAGTAAGCAAAAACGGTTGTCTGAGACTGTTGAAAAAAGCTTATTGAAATCGATAGATGTACCTTAATTTACTTATTTAAAGCTTTATAAACGTTGACTGTCTTTCCGATTCAACACCAGAAGTTTGATGTAATAACAAACTGAATGAGTGTAATTTGCACATACATCGACGGTTTAATTCGACACTTCACAATTGATTTAATAATATGCTTTATTAGACGTCTAATAAATGTTAAATGTTAAATGTTTTCTAGCTTAAAGACTGGAACGCGCAAAAATTTGTCGACAAAAAAAATCGTTCGTTTATTCTTTTGGTTTGCTAAATCTGAACTGCCGTGTCATCCGCTTAACCACTTCCATTAAATTTTGCACGGTGGTTTCATCGACCTTATTCGCCGCCGAACGCCTGTTAGATTTAAACTGCTGCTCGTTTTCCATGAATTTATTAGTTTTTTTTAGATTCCGTTTGACCAAGGCCCAATACCGTTTGATAGGGCGGAGTTCTGGGCTGTTGGGAGGGTTGTGGTCTTTGGGTACCACAAGCATGTTGTTTGCATCGTACCACTCGATTGACTTTTTCCCATAGTGGCAGCTCGCCAAGTCCGGCCAGAACAGCACAGGTCTATTATGTTGCTTTAGGAATGGTAGCAGCCGCTTTTCCAGGCACTCCTGGACGTAGATTTCTTGATTGATGGTTCCCGTAGTAATGAAAATGCCGCTTTTTAGACCACACGTGCATATGGCCTGCCAGACAAAATATTTTTTTCGGAAACTTCGATAGTTTGATCACAGACAAACAGACATTACACTCGCAAGTTGTTCATCGAACAAGCATTTAACGGTCAATTTAAAAGTATCGTAGTTGGTAGTACCCCCACCTGTGGCGCGCATAGTCGTTTACTTTGAGTTTGACGTTTACACACTAGCGCCATGTGTTCAGCGTACTACCCACCACAGTGTACTCAACAGATGGTGGTAATGTTTTAACGACGATGTTGTACAGTGAGAAATATTCAATGGGTTATGTCTGTTTGTCTGTGGTTTGATGGTTTTGAAAATTTCAGCCACATTCCCTTTTCCTGATGCGGTATAAAACTTCTGTCCCGGAAGCTGCTTGAAATCCGCCTTCACATAAGTTTCGTCGTCCATGATGACTCAGTCGAACTTTGTGAGCAGATTCGTATACAGCTTTAGGGACCGCTGCTTTGCCGACGTGTTTTGTTTGTAATCTTGGTTCGCCACCTTCACCTTCTTAAACGTCGACAACCCGGATCGTTTCTTGGCCCGCTGCACAGCAGTATGGGCAGCGAATCCAAACACATAAAGCAACCAACGATACAGACAAAACGGTTGCTACGACTACCATGACAAACTCGCTCTGTAACATAGCTCGATACGAGTGGTAGAAGGATAATGATATATTGCTTGCCTGCTTTGTTGCAATATACACGGATGAGGACATAGCTTGATATGAATCGACAAAAGACATAACAAAAAAATTCCCATTAACACACGTGTATCATCTTCGGCTTTACTTCGTGAAGCAGCTTGCCAACAATTTGCTCGTTTCCTTCAACCGCCCCGAGAGAGTTGTGCCGCACGGGCTGCTTGTCATGAAAAAGAACGAAGAAGATTATATCATTATTGCTTTCCACTTCTGACATAGCGTTATTATTCGGTTCGTTGATCGCTTGTCATTTTGTCATTTGGAGATATTTTTAATTTCTTGAGTATGGGAGACATTGAGCTTGCCAGCGACGTCCCGGATGGAGAGGTTTTCTTCTGTTCGGGACCTAACACTACTGCGACCAGTGAATTGATCTATTGTAGTATATCCCGTGTCCATAGTTTAGTGCATGTCGTACTACTCCATCACTATTGAGAAATGATGAAGTATTCGATTTTTTTTTACAGTTGCCACTCTTGCCTTTATCGCAAGGATCCGACTCTAATTGAAAGGTCCCGCTATTTATACCCTTCGGAGTGTTGAAACACCCTCCAAAGGTGCGCCCCTTTGTCAGTCAAAATTGGATTCCTTAGCAACAAAATTAAGGTATGACACCGATAATGACCATGCATCAGAACCCTAGTCTTAACCACTTCAAACTAGAGAACAACGAATAGAAGATTAGGAATCACATAGATGAAGACAACTAACTCATTTTTTTTCCTGAACTGTCGCACGGCACACGATATGTCTGAAGGCACGTTTTTTGCAACATTCATGTACCTCAGATTTTCCTTGACAGGATGTTAGTATTGATCCTAACAATCAAATATGTGATAGTTTTAAAATATTTCATCTTGGGTTTTTTGAGAAAAAGTGTTTTGAAGTTTACAAAGCCGATTATGAAGGCGTATATGGACTATTGACGATACAAAACTATTACGAATTGAACAAATGCAGTTTAACAAGATTCAAATGATGATTGAATTAATCTAAATGGCATTAAAGAGTTCTCTTTGACTCTTAAGTAAGATCCGTATTGATTATGTCGACTTTGACCAAAATAATTTGATAATTATTGCTAGAACAACTTCTTAATCAATTTCTCTTCCCTCATAAGAGTAGAAGAGAAAGAAACGAGCAGGACAGTCTGAGGCAGCCAGTTAATCATAGTAGGCATTGATTTTCTTCCTGTTTCGAGTGTTTATGTTTTTATTGGAGGTATCGTGTAGAAAATATGGAAAAATTAAAAAAAAAGCTTCATGAAAAAAATAGAGAGTTTGCTTGTTGTATTTGCCACCAAAACATCCCGAGGGTGGACAATTTGCTTGGATTTAAAAAAATAGATATGTTTGACTCAATGGCGAGATCGAAAATAATTTCTGACAACCATGACGAATTGGTTTGAAAATCATCTAACCGATAATACACATGAGGTTAGCTACTTTTGCCAAGTGAGTTTAGGTAGTCCTTCTGCGAACTATTGGAAACTGTAGTGAATTTTAGGAAAGTTCGGCAAACTATAAATAAGTTCCTCCAAAGAAGCAGAGAAATTCAACAACCTTCAGATAAGTTCATTGAACATCAGGAAAGACTTCAGGAAAATTCTTCAAACTTTAAAGGTGTGCTTCGTTCTCCAGATCTGCCAACTTAAGGGACATTTTGTGAGCTTCAGGGGAGTTCAATGCCCTCCTGGTAAGTTCTACGAACTTCAAGAGAGTTCTGTGAACTATAGCAACATTATATAAATTTCAATGATGTTATGCAAACAGTTCTTTAAACGTGAGGAAATTTTTGCAACCTTTAGGATGGTCTGTGAACCACAGGAAAATTTAATAACATTAGGAAAGTAGGTATTATGAATTTTAAAAAAACGTCTGAGAATTTCAGGAAAAAAAACAAGAACATCAAAGAACATCATGAAAGTTAGAAGAATTTCATCGAAGTTCAACGAAATCAAGGAAAAACATATGAACAGGGATTTGAATTTGAATGTAACTTCTATAAGCTACCTCATCGGGTCGTTGGTGGAATAACTCCCACTCCATGTCTTAGAAAACAGGTATAATATTGAGAATTTGTTGCAATATCTCTTTCTCTTTTACGCTTCCTTTATGAAATGTGATTGAGGGCATTAGCAGGGTGGAAGGGCGTAAAAATGAGAGTTTGTCACCTAAAAAAAATCGTGAGTACGGCTCACGCATGTTACATTGCCGTTTACCGGTATAAAAAAAGGAGCAGTTTATGAAAATTGAGGTTCATAAATATCCAGAAGACCAAACTCGACAGTCAAAGTTGTGCGGGTGTGTAGATATTTGTAAGAAAAAAACACCACAGAAAAAAAAAGAAATTCATAAAAAATTTCAGACTTCAGAATCTCTCCAAATTGGCAGATGAAAGTAAGCATCACTTTGTTGCCAAACGCATTAGATAGTTAGCAGGCAAAAAACTAGTCTAGGTTAGTTTTTCAAACGTCGCAGGAAGACCAATTTAAATTTGAAACAGTCAGGAAAAAATCTAAGATTTCTCACGAAGATTTACTCAGCTTTAAGAAAGATCTTAATTTGAGTGTTAATAAGGTCAGTATGTAACAGTTATCTTTATAACTTTATATTTAACATGACTTTAAACTATACTTTTGTTATATTACAGACGCTAAAATTGGCTAAATGTATGAGACATACCGGCCGTCAAACTATCCAGCCCGGCCTCAAATCAGCTATGAGGAAAGACAACGCGGCCAAGAATGATCCCAGTAACGCAATATGGTGGCTGCCGCAAATGCGACTCAGCATACGCAATTTGGATTCGCTGGTTGCCATTGTAGGTGCTTGATAAACGCCATTGCCTGATAATCGTGCAGTTTTTGAAGGATGAAATTTTAATCATCAGCTAATGAAAAACAACACATCACTGATTTTTCGCCTTAATTTTTAAGGAAAAATATAAAAAACTCTTTGCACCCTCTATATACAAACCATGAAAACCATAATAAACGAATACAATAAATGTTTTCAAATATAAAATACCAATTTTTTAATATCATTATATTGCATCATTACAAGTACTTTTTATTACCTTTCATTTGATATTTTGATCTTTAAAATTTGCCCAGTTGTTCAAAAGCTATAAATTAAAAAAAAAAGTCATTTTAAAAAAACAATAAAAAATAAACGTTTTTTGGACTACCCTAACGTTGAAATAGTCACCCTAAAGACAAAAAAAAATTTACGGTAAGGATCAAAACTACCATTTCCTACCAAATTCTGAGAACCACTATATTGTTTTGCAATGGAATGGCTTAATAATAGTAAATTTAGAGACTAAACCATTGTTTAGTTATTTTATTAATTTAAACATTCTGAGATCATTACATTGCTACGATATCTGACGGTACCGAAGAGGGAATCTTACTGTATCATTGAAACTTAGTGTTTTGACAACTTTAATCCCCTTTTGAATCATTTTCAGCTGAATTTGTTTCGATCCGTAACAGTTTTGTATCATCAATAGTCCCAAACGGCGCCGGTGGTGTAGTGGTAAGCGTGATTACCTCTCACCCCAGCAGGCCTGGGTTCAATCCCAGTCGGCGCCGCCGGGATGTTCTGAGGCATAACATCTCTGATCACGCCTTCCTTCGGATGGGAAGTAAAGCCGTTGGTCCCCGGTTCATGAGTTGATGGGTCGATAGGTGGTAGTGTCCAGGTGTGGGAGCTGCCTTCCTGGCACGTCGGTAGCATTGGTGCTCAGCACGGAAAACTAGATCGACGGAAAAAACAAACCAAAGGAAAAAAAAATCAATTGTCCTTTGCTCCTCGCCTTTGTTAACAGCTAAGTAAGCTTCAAAACACTTTTCTCAAAAAACCCAAGATGAAATATTTTAAAATATTCGCAGATTTGATTGTTAGGATCAATACTAACTTCCTGTGAAGATAAAACTGAGGTACATGAATGTTGCAAAAAAAGTGCCTTCAGACATAGCGTGCGGCATGTTTTGAGTGATTAAATGATCTGCCCCCATTCAGAACCCTTCACCAAGGTTGCAAATACTCATTTCAGCTAAAATAATGTTTTTCGGAATAATAAAACCAAAAGATGGTATGATGGCATGTTTTACTTGTAACTTACAAGAAGAGGTTACAAAGTATGCGTTTGAAACATAAAACCTGTAAATTTTGCTTTCTATGAGTCACAATCAGCGATTTTCTGATCGCTGAGTGAGTGAGTGAGTGAGTTTGTGAAAAATCGCTGATTGTAACTCTCATGAAGTGAAATAAGCAGGTTTAATATGTCAAACACATTCTTTGCAACCTCTTCTTGAATCCTACCAATTCAAAATATGATCATGGCATCTAATTATTCCATAATTTAGAAATACATTGTTTTAGCTGAAATGAGCATTTGCAACCTTACCCTTCACCAAAACCGATTCCAGGGAAATGGCCATATCTCGGTTGATTATAGGCCGATTTTAGTTCTTGCCATATGATTCGCTTTAGAAATGGTTCTTCTTTCGTTTTATTTACTAAAAATATATATATTTAATCAGCATCATATATAAAATTACACCAAAAATTTAGCAAGTTAGACAAGTCCTCCAGAAACCCGGAATATTTCCGGTATCCGGTGACCAGGATTATTTTCGTGGCTACACCGTAAAACAATATTAGTTTTCCAGTCAAATGCTCTTGGAAGTTTTAAAATCGGATCATATTTGACGAAGCTACAACACTCCAAAGTTGACCAAAAATTTGCTTATCCTAGTTATTTTCAGTAACCCCTGTAACAAGTCTACGTGAGTGAATGTTTACATCACAATAAAAATTCAGAATTTTTATCTGTGTAGTTTATTCCATTTCGTTACAATTTTTTTTTCCTTCATCAGCCTTAGGCTGGTTCATCTCTAAATTTTAAAAAACTGCTCATGTTTATCACTGATCAAATTATCACTAACAACTGACTTTGTATTCCTTGCAGATTATTTTCAGTTCGAGTGAATGACGAAAGCTATTTTGTTTTGTATCGCCGTTAATGGTCAAGATTTTGTAGCTCTGCTTGATGATAATCAAATAATTTGGATACATTTCTTTCACTGAAATAAACTTACATTCCAAATGCAGCATACATTGATTTAATATGTTTACCTGGTGTGACAGATGATAAGAAATTTTTCCATTATTTAATCTGTTATTAATGTCACATCATAATCAAATCTCCTTACGATATTTTAAATCGATTCTAATAATATCTTTTTGCGATTCTCCAAATTGTGACCCACTTTACCAATATTCTCGGAATCTACGTCTAGTCAATCGGGGGCAGAAATTGCATCTCGACCTCGGTACGAAGCTCGGCATTTTCCATAATGAGCTGCTTAATCATCTTTCGCGATTTGTAAATTTCCTTGGTGAGCCGCACGATTTTCTCCCGCAGATGGTGCTCCGTCGAGGTGCAGCAGATAAACTTGTGCTGCTCGGGTTTCGTACAGTTGCGATTACCGGTCGACCACTTGACGTAGGCGCGCTCCAGGGTTGTTACGATACTCATCAGATTGATACAGTCCCAATCGTTGTTGTCGGTGGAAACCAGCGAGAGGTAGGGGAAGTTTTGCTCAACTTCTTCGATACGCATATCGATTAGCTCGTTACCATGGAGGTAGATATTCTCCAGTGCCGGAAACGTATCGAACACGGCCAAATCGATAAAAAGAAACTTGTTGTGAGCGAGATTGAGCGTTCGAAGGGACTTTGCCGGTGCTGGGATTCCGTTGTCAATTATCCACAAGTGGTTGTTGTTCAGCTTAATGTCCTTGAGGTTTTTCATGAACGCGAATATGACAAAGTCCAGAGTGATGAGCTCGTTATAGGAAACATCCAAGTCGATCAGATTGCGAAACTTGAAAATGTTATTAATGTTGGCAATGTTGTTTCGCGATAGGTTCAGATGAGTTAGCTGAAAAAAGTCGCCCTGGTCCATCAGGATTCGACTCACTTGATTTTCCTGGGCATTTAGTGTCCGAAGGTACTTTGTTACAAATACTTCGTCTAAGTAGTTCTTTCCGATATCGAGTGTTTCCAGTTTGTTTAATCCAATCAACTGAGTCATATTAAATGTGTTGATCATATTTGCAGATAGATTAAGTTCTCTTAACATCGAGCAAAGGATGAACTGATCGTCGTTGATCTCTTTGATTTTGTTATTCTGCAATTCCAGTATTTGAAGCTCCTCCAGGCCGGAGAACAAACTCTCCGGTAGCTTTTCAATTAAATTATCGTCCATGTACAGTTGTCGCAGATGTCCGAGTCCATCGAATGCATGCTCTTCAAGGTATTTGACCGTGTTGTTATACAGAGACAGAATCTCCAACTGCAGCGCCCCATTGAACACAAAGTTATTCAACTTTGAAATCTTATTGTTATACAAATGTAGCTCCTGCAATCGCTGGGCATTGGCGAAAGTTCCCCCTAGTAGTTTCTGGATGTTGCAAGCATCACTCGAGAGATACTGAATCGCCGGAAACGTTTCGAATACTTTCTTCGGTAGCACTACCATCGAACAATCGCGAAATGCAATACTGGTGTCATTGAAATTCTGTTCTCCGAAAAAGATGCTATCGGCTTCCGATTCACTACGTATATTGACATCTCGAAACAAACAATCATAGTAGTTAGCCGTCAGTGTGCAATTGAACTTGATCTCGCGTCGCCCATCGACGATGCTTGCCAAAATACACAAACCAATCAAACTAGAATTAAAACAAGTTCACAGATGAATGTAACAGCCTAGAACAGTTATTTACTACTTACAAGAAGTACCAGAACGACGTCGCCATTTGCGATTTGCTACAGCAGTTGTTTTGTATACTCGCATGGAGATTACGCGCCCGATGCCGAAGCCTTATCAGCTCGAAATGTCTGTCGCGGAAATATGCTTTCATATAATGATCGTGCTGCAAGTGTTGTGGCCGCTACTGGAAGCATATGTCTCATGTTGGTGAGTTTAGTAATCACAAATGCATGGCCTTTTCGGATGTAGTAAGAAGTGAAGCATGCTTCAATAAATATAGTTTTTGTAACTTTATTTAAGACGTTTTTAGCCTAAAGGCTCTTTCAATAAATAAAATTTAATTAGTATAATAAATTAGCAATAAATTATTACTTATATTTGAACTTTCTGAATCCAACATGTTTTTTTTTCCGGCCAACTGCTCATTCAATTGTTATAAAGAATGGCTTGGAATTCATCGACAGACCGTCTCTCTTTTGGAATAAATTCTGAAATGGAACGAAGAAAATAGAAAGAAAGATTAAATACATATAATTATTTGGCATATGGAAATGTGGCATACGGAAGGTTCGCCAAATGTATAATTGACATAAAGATGTATGGGCGAATGAACGCTTGACCCAATGATTGCTTGGCTGAATCTAAGAGTACGACAAATACAATTCTCAATTCTATAATGCCGGAAAATCTGCGAATCACTCTACGAAAACTCTTTTCTTTTTTTTTTTTCATTTCATGCATCTAAACCTATCGTCTCGCATGTACGGAATCTTCATCAAACTTCTCTGCATCTACTTATCGTGAGCGCATCTAATGATAGTAAATCAAAATATATTTATTTTTTCCCCTAGATTTGTTCTCCGTACTGAGTATTAACATAGAGGTAACTTTAGGACAGAAGGTCCCGAAGAAACGTGCTCTACTTTTTCGTTCTGCTCTGGTACTTTCTCCGGTCCCAAACTAATCGATGCACCCCTCGAAACATAGGAGAATCCACGAACCCCTAATTTATCTGTCAAATTTTCATAGCGAATCAAAACAAACATAGTGTAGTACTAGAATTTCGACTAGATTGGGGTACGCTTATAGATGTACTTGGGACCAATAGGCTAGTCAAGTAGTGAGCCAATTTCAAATCGTTAGTTTCCATCGGTTGGTAGTACACTAATGAAATTCTAAACTTATAGTTGACTTGGTTAGTACACACACTTTTTATAAAATATTCCAAACTTTATGTTTATATGTGTAAACATAAATTTCAGAATGAACCCCTTATCTGTTATAAGATAGCCTATAACACTTATATGAATGACATATTTAATGTATATGTGTGCTACCATAAAAATTATGTTTCGCATCTTATAGGTGAATGTTATGTGTTTTCACGCATAATTTTGATATTTGAGCGCTGAGTGGTGTTAACTGCTAACTGATCCAATTCAACTTTATAGAAAGCCTACCCAACAAACAATTGAGAGCTCTTATAAAACACCTGAGTTGATCAAACGTTGAATAATAGCTTCCAGAGTTGTACAAGAATTTAGTTGTATTGCCATTTGGTTAAAAGCTTCAAAAACTGCTTGGAGCACTCTTAAATGATTGTTTACGTTCGGCTTACCTATATGCTTTATAAGACCTACGATAACTTTTATAGCACCTTAGTTAAACTGATTCACAAGAGCTATACAGAACGTGGAATAAACGCATCAAAACAAACCATTGGGAGCTCTTATAAAACACCTGAGTTGATCAAACGTTGAATAATAGCTTCCAGAGTTGAACAAGAATGTAGTTGTATTGCCTTTTTGGTTAGAAGCTTCAAAAGCTGCTTGGAGCACTCTTAAATGATTGTTTACGTTCGACCAACCACCAACCACAATTTTGTTGCTAAAAATAGCACAAGTGATAGGCACGTTTATATGACCATAAGGCAATGATTATTCGACTGCAAGAGAAGTCACTCAAGATGAGCTTCATATACTTCGCTCATATGATAAAAATATGTATTCAAGAATAGAGCAGATGGAAACAAAAGCGGCTGGCAATCCGGGATCATGAGTTCGAATCTTGCTTCGAGAAACCCTCGGTGGAGTAGGTGTTATTAATAAATGCAAACATTAATTTAAGACATATATCATATAATCAACGATAACATTTCTAGATAAATTCTCTCAATTAATGATTAGAGAGATTAATTGAAGAATATCAATCAAAGATTAAACAGATGCTTGTTACTACTTCCTCCATGATCACAGAATGATTACATATTTTTTCAATGTGCACAAATAAATTAAATTAATAAAAACTGTACAAGCAATTATTTTGGCGTACCACGACAATTGTTAAACTAATTTTAATCTGTGAATATTGTGAGTACTTACACAACGGTTATTAAGGAGTCATTAAAAAGTGCTATAAACGCTTTTCACCGCTTGCTGTTCAATTAATATTTAGGAGTCATAAAAGAGTGTAACAAACGCCTCTCAGGTTTCCTCTCTACTAAATTTCAAAGCAGCTGTCAGGAAGTGTCTACAAACGTTGTATAAGAGCTTTCACCAAAACAATAAAGCTTGACTTTAAATATGTATCTATAAACGTTGTATAAAAGTTGCTTCTACTCCTATACCGCGTATACATATAATGCTGTAGTTGAACAGGTTCTCCAAACCAGTGTAAACAAGAGTTTTACAGAAGTTGTAATAAACAAATTGTACAGTTATTATTCAGCATGCAGTTGAATAAAATCACAATGAAAACGTTCCTTCAACAAGAAATTGATTTTGGGTAAACGTTTTACTGAAAACGTTAGACAACACCTTTGTGTTGCAGTTGTATAGGTTCTCCAAACCAGTGTAAACAAGGGTTTTATAAAAGTTGTGGTGAACACATTGTGCAATTATTATTCAACATGCAGCTGAACAAAATCAAAACGAAAGCGTTTCTTCAACTGGAAATTGTTACTTGGGTACTGATGCAAAACCATGGAGAACGAGCTGTCACATGGTATGTTTTGGTGTAAAAATGAAATTGTCCCCTACTTAAGGTTTCCTGGGGGCATTCCGCTTGTTCCATAGTGGTCAATGCGATCAATGATCCATTTAAAGCCTATAGCAAGCCTACTGTTGCAAAACCATGAAGAAAGAGGTGTCGTGCTGCATGTTTTGGTTTAATAATGGAATTGTCCCCTACTACAGGTTCCTCTGGGGGAACTCCAGTGGTTCCGGAAGTGGCCAATGTAGTCAATAATCCATTTAAAGTCTTTGGAAATCCTACTGATGAAAAACCATGAAGAAAGAGGTGTCACACGGCATGTTTTGATGTAAAAATGAATTTGTCCCCTACTACAGGTTCCCCCGGGGGCACTCCGGTGGCTCCGGAAGTGGCCAATGTAGTCAATGCTTCATTTAAAGTCTATAAAAAGCCTATTGGTAAAAAACCATGAATAAAGAGGTGTCACATGGCATGCTTTGAGTGAATGAAAGAACTGAGCGCACTCAGAACCCTCCCTCAGGACCGATTCCAGGAAAATGGCCATATCTTGGTTGATTCTGAGCCGATTTTAGCTCTTGTTGCGTCATTTGCTTTGGAAATAGTTTTTTCTGGCGTATGAACAAAAAACACAGATTAGTAACGGACACCCTGAGAAAAACTCATCACAAATTTAGCAATTTAGACATGCCCTCAGGAAACCCAGAATATCTCCGGTATCCGGTAACCATGGTCACTTCCATTGCTCCATCATAAAATTTGATTAGTTGTCTAGTCGAATGGTTCTTGAAGATTGAAAATCGAACAATATTCAACGAAGTTGCAACAATCCAAAGTTGGACAAAATTTTGCTAGTACCCTATATTTCTCACAACCCCTGTATTTCAGATGACGTAGCGATTTGTGCTGAGACTCTCACGCAGAAGGACTGGGTTTAATTCTTCAAACTGCTCGTAATGCTGATAAATTAATACACATTAATACCTGCCTTTAGAAATAACATTCATAAAAGTCCGAACTAAATATAGAATTGGTGTAGAGGTCAAAAAAAAAAATTAATTTATTTTCTGAAAGTTCCGTTCAAGTTCCGCCAGAGGCTGCTTTGAATGCTCTTTAATTATAGTACCGGAACTTTCAAACTCTTATAACGACTTAAAAATGAGGCTGCTAAAAATTCTATAGACCACCTTCAACCAAGCTGCTTAAGACATAAATAGCCTCTTATCAGAACTTTTGGTTACTTGGGTGCAGTCCACATCGTGCTGTCTTGCCGTGCGGATCTATGTGCTTTTTGCTGAAGGAAGTGTTACTACTACCTAAAGTTACAACAAATTTAAACAGCACTTTTCAGTCCTCAATATACCTCTAAATTTACTACCTTTTTTGACTCTTATTCCTCTTCGATCCTTGTTTGGACCCTACCCGAGGTAATCCTTCTTGGATATCGATTTGGAAAATTCCTCTTCGATCCTTCAGATTCTTATAGTAATTTGCTTGGAAGTCGATTTGGATAAAAAATTTACTGCCGCCATGGCGCCTTAGCGCAAAAGAAAAGGGCAATCTCTTGATCCCCCCTCTGAAGAAATTAACTTGAGCAATCAATTTGATTTGCTCACGGATGATGAGAATCATCCATAATCCAGGAAAAATTTTAGTAAACTTTCCCAACTTTATGCCAAGAAGGAAAAGATTCCCCCTATTGTGATAACCACTTCCGATTTCCATGCTCTTCGCACGGAACATTTGAACTCCATGAAAGTTAAGTTTTCACTACAAATTGGACGTCGGGGTGATTGTCGTGTATTGGCTGAAACCTTGAGCGGATTCAAATGTTTTCTCAAGTGTCTTTCTGAGAAGCAGCATACATTTTTTTACTTACGACACCAAAACTGAACGTGTGTTCAAGGTTGTCATGAAAGGACTGCCCAGTGGTGAATCTCTCGATCAGATCAAAGATGAACTGGCAAAATTACTTGGAGTTGTGCCACTCCAAGTAATCAAAATGAAAATGAAATCCCATCCTGGCGATTCGCGCAACGGGATTTCTAATGATATTTATTTAGTTCACTTCAAATCTAGTGAACTGAACAACCTTAAGGCTTTAAAAAAAGCTAGCC